TAAGTTTAACATGACAGCAAATGACCAACTTTTCAACAAGGTTTTGTCATCATCAGGTCCCTGTTGCTGACAAAACCTTGTCGAAACGTTGTACATTTGCTGTCATGTTAAACTTATATTAAAGTTTTTCTTCATTACCCATTTAAGCCGTCTCCAGCCATTATTATACCTTTGATTAAGTAAAGAACAGTAATGTGTTTCTGAAATTCATCCACCCAATTTTCTTAAGATTTGGAATGCCTAATAAATAAGTTACAATGTTAAATTCAACTGTATTTAAGTATGACTTACCTTTAAAGTCTGGAAAAACAGAAATGATCAACTGTATTTAAGTATGACTTACCTTTAAAGTCTGGAAAAACAGAAATGATCAACTGTTCATCACAGTCTGTGATGAGAGAGAATTTCTAAGAGTCACTTTTTTTTTTGTTGCAAAATTCAACTCAAACTCAGGATAGATTTCTGTTTAAGAGGTGTCAAAAAAATTATTTTTCCTAAGAGAAATGCAAGTTATCTTGCTTTATATATAGAAAAAAAAAGAATTGTGATTTAATAGTTATTTGAATTTTTTTAACAATTTTTAATCAAATAAAGTAGAAACTGTTAACCGTTACCTTGATATAAAATCAACAAAAGGCAATGGTACATCATTATATAAGATTCATCCTCTAGATACCATATTCTGGTTCATCTATAAGAATGTACATAATTTTAAATCAGAAAATACTTTCAAAGTTGATAAAATTTACAACTAATTTAGATTTCTTTACAAAAGAAACATTTTTTGTTCTACTGACGAAAATGTCTAGTTTGGTTGGTTACAAAAAAAAATAAAGGAATGCTTTTAATAAAAAAAAAGGGATACGATTTTTATAAGCACTTTTTAAAATAACAAAGATCCCAATAATGATCACAATAATGTCCTAACTTTGTTATCTATTAGTATAAAGGTTGCTTTGTTTTACTTATTACATAAAAGATTAACATTTATCTTTTGACCACCAAACAATAAATTAGAGGATTCTATATGAATCGTACATCAAAATATCAGGACTAAGATACAGGCAATCTACGGGTTTTCAAGTTTATTTTGAATTAACAATATGGAGACTAACAAAAACAAGTTTGTGACAATTTTAGCATAAACTTTTGGCATTTATGACTATATTTTCCTGCAATCTTGTATAAAGAAAAGTACTTGGTTTTAAAGAACAGAAAAAAGGGGACGTTAGACTAGAGGATACATATTCATTTTTTAATTTGTTTATGCAACTTTTAAGTTACACATGCAAAAAAATAAAAGGTTTCCAAGCTATGGACAGATTAAGTACAAGTTGAATGTAAATATATATATATAGATATACAAAATCAACTTTCCCAGCACTTCTAGAGATCTACAAGTATCTCTAGACAATAAAAATTCTGAAGGCTTTATAGCTTCAAGGTCAGAAAAGTTTTGAATAACTACACAAATATATGGTCAGTTCCCACCCCCTTCTTGTTATTTACAATGTACAAGCTATTTTAAAACATACCTTTTTATTCCTTGTAGCTTTTTAAGTAATGTACTGGTAAGTTAAGAAAGCTTGACCAACTAAAACAGTTATAATACAAGTAAAAATACATGAAGAACTATCTCATGTTTTTCAAAGACCATGTTAACTTCTCCAGGTCTACACATGGCTTAAAAGTTTCCAGATAATTCTGGAAGTCAGAGAACTCTGTAGTTTTCACTCACTAAAACTTTCACTTCCACTTTCCAAAAAAGTTCACACATATATATGCAGCATATTAATTAATATAATAGTTGTTGTTAGGACACAAGAGTCTAGAAGTAGTCAAATAGTTGTACAAGAACTCTTATTATTTGTTAAACTACACTGGCTCATCAGTGAATCCTCTCAGTTGTGGTAGCTTTATATGTATGAATACTCTGCTCTTCAAGTAACATAATTTCTACATCATAGAGTAGATCATCAAAGGAACACTTAAAATTCTATAAAGTTGGTTCACCTTCAGATGACAGACTGGAGACAACTTGACTTTGAAGTACCACGTCATAGCAAAGTAAACACCAATAGTGGAAAACATTTCCACTGTAAACTACGATCTCTTTCATTCTCATCTTTTAGTGAAACTTAGCTACAGGTCTTCGTAAAATGTGTAAGTCTAAAGGGAAGCCTACTTGCTGTAAGTAAACGGGGTGTTATTGATATGATCTGTAGTTTTAATACTTCTCTTGTTATCTAAGCTCAAGACCAAAAGACTGGTACTTTATTTAACAAATGATACCAAAAATATTTATTTCTACTTTCATAGGTAAATACTAATGAAAAGGAATAAATTCTCTACTCTTTGATATCAAACATAGATACTTATTCAAATAAACAAAACGAATTCTTTAACCTGGCTTAAAATCAGTCTTTAGATTGCTGTATAATTAGAAATAACCAGTGCAGCAGTTAATGTGGTCATCAGCCACCTCTCTATTCTTGCAATAAGGTTCTAAAACAGGAAGGCATGTTGGCATGACAAAACATTCAAAACCCAATATGCATGCTATTTTTTGCACCAGTAGGTAGAGAGAAATTAAAAATATGTAGCTACTGACATCAATTAGAAGACAGTTACACGAAACCTTAACACGAGCACATTGTGACATCATATTATTGTTTGATATTTCCCTCCAACAAGGCAAGTTACAAATTAAATAATTGTCTTCCTTAAAGATATGAAATCTTTTATACCAAGCAACATATAATCAAACAAAAAACAAGTTATACAAATGTAACTCATGCTGATAGATCAGGCAATTGTTTGGTATAACATGAAAAAAAAGACACATTTCCCTCTTGATTCATTCCAGTAAAACAGTTCACGAAATTATGCATTCTAATAACAACGTGCGACACAAACTTGAAATAAAAACAAAATTCTAACATCAAAGATTAACCAATATTTCATGCACTGTTGTCTTCGTTTGAAAAAGTTAGTGCAATGCCAAAGTTTTTCACAGATTTATAATTTACTAAAGAAATTAAAAATAATAAACTCAAAATAAAGGACTTTGTACTTGGGAATCTCTTCCCAATGCAATGAGAGATCTACCCTTGGAAAAATTCCTCCCAACCTATATATATATATATATATAAACAATACAACAAACAGGTTTCAATTCGAACCCCGGAGTTTCATCCTACTGAACGCATGTATGTTAAGACATTTACAGGATAAAGAAATATTCATTATATGTGGTACTGGCAATACACAGATAAAGCTATTTAGCTGTTGTCGTGGCAACATGTCTCCTCTCTCTCTCCACCCTCTGATTTAGCTGCCTAACCTGATCTTCAACAGTGTTTTCATATTAAGTCTGCTATGCAGACATCGAAAACAACCAAGAACTTAAAACAAGTGGCTTCACCTACTAAGACCGAGAAGTACCATTGAGCTGTTTCTGAGAATAGATGGAAGGTCCATTAAGGATCTGAGAGGATTGTGGATGTACTCCTACTGTGTGGTTGATATTACATTTCAAGGAATACACACTGTCCATTTGACTCAATCTTTCCAGAGTAGGTACCAAGTCCCGGAGTTCGGTGTCAGACATATCATCAAACCATGAAGAGATGGGCACCTGGGTTACAAAAAATTTAATAAACTATAAATAAGTCTGTTTTATGTTTTTACAATGCCATATCTGACCTACATTGAAACCTAGTTGCAAGATCACATAAGACATACTAATCTTCACATTTTTAAAAGTTTTCAACACATCTAGTTCTTATTATTTTTCAGTTTAACATAATACGGTTCTATTTGATTAGGAAAGAAAAACTACCATAATAATACACAATAGTCATATTTAATACTTCTTTTCCCTGACATTGCTGTATTTTCCAAACACAGCTGAACCAATTCAGCCAGCAGGTTATACTAATACTTACAATAAAATAACTACTTTCTGAACAAGAACTTATGACAGTAATTAGTCACACTCAGTCAATATATCCAATATTTTAAATCACAGTACTGAAAATGATTATCTGGTTTAGAAGAATTTGATCAGTTTACCCAACTAATAAATCAGTTCGGAAAAATTTAAAAAAAACATGAGATATGTACCGTATTTTTCGGAATATAAGACACACCGGTGTATAAGACGCACCCTTATTTTGAATACAAAGTTTTGGGAAAAAAAAAGCTACATTCGCATTTGAAAGATTTTTATTGAACAAAAATTCAATATGATTCTTTAAAAATTAGTATATATTGTTCTAAACACAAAATAGCTCAAAACATCAAAATAAGAATAATATCGTAAATCAAAAAAAGGTTTACTGTTATTTAGTTCATTGCTTTCACTGTAATTTATTTGTTTATTCTTTAGGGATCATTATAAATAGTTATCTTTTTAAAAGAAAAAAAAAACTACTATTATTATAAATAACACATTCAATTGAACTAAACTATGCATGCCTATTTAAATATATTTACACATGGCCTGATTTTTCCAAGCCCGTTCCCTTGGCTGTGGTTTCGCTAGATAGTAGATATATTATTCATACCTTCGGTGTATAGGACGCAAGCTGATTTTGATATCAAATTTTGGGGTAAAAAAAGTGCGTCTTATACACCGAAAAATATGGTAAGTTCTTATACAAAATGATCAGAGCAAATGTGCACCATAAAATGCATTTGGTATTAAATGCATAGCGCATACCAACAGCTCATTTGTTTTCTTAATCGCAAAGTTCTGTATGTACCTTCTATTGTAATATCACTTCAGTAGCTCTTGACTTAAATTTTAATAGATTAGAAACACGTCAAACACAAAACCCCTCTGCAAAGTAATGCTTGAAAATGGTCTAGGAATAAAAAAAATAATACAGAACTATAACAAACACTTGGCTTCATTTTCCAGGAAATTTGTAGTTTTTATTCAAAAATACATAAAGTGACAATAATAACACCTAAGAGTTGATGTATTACCATCATGAGTTGCAAGATATTTCAATTTCTATTGAACAAAATATAGCCATCATATTAGTTGATGCTGTTTACTGGTTTGAGCATGTTAATAAACGAGTGTGTGTGTGTGTGTGTGTATTTTCTAATTATGTTTTTTTTTGCACAGAAATCAAATACTCACTACTTGAAATGGTGACCATGAACTTTTAACCCCAACATAAATATGTTCTTCCCATCCCCAATGTAAAGTTTGATTAAAATCTGTAGTTACAAACTCTGGATATTGTGCATAGATGTCTACGGGTGGACATCATAAGATGAAACATAAGATATTTCAGATGAAGAACAGTATTTTTAACCTTGATATGAAAACCACTTTACACTCAGAGCAGTCAACAATTTGACTCCATATGTTCATGGAGAAACATTTAGTGAAAATATTTCATTAAAAATCTGGATTTTTTTTGTTTTGTCTACAAAAGACTCTTAATGATTATTTAAAGTTTGAGAAATTTTGTGAAGATACACAAAACATATTAGAAGTTATAGTATGGAAACTTTCAGTTTGTGGTTATAAACTCGGCTGATTCGGCCAAGACCATAGCGAGAGAGTTAAAGAGCTAGGAGGAGAATGGGTGAAGTTTGAGTACAGCCGAGACAAATCGAAGGAAATTACCAGTTGAATGAGAACTAGGGTTAGGGTGAAGAAAGATTAGGAAATTTGACAGGCCACCCAAATAGGTCAGAGTTGTGAAGAGGAAGGGAAGTTGGAAGGATTATGCATGGAAACAGGTGAAGAGAAGCCTATCATCAACATAAAGTGGACCACAGACCCAGAACATGAAAATGTCAAGCGAAGACATAATGAGAATGCAGGTGGACTGACACTATACCAAACAGAAAATCACAGAACTGTTGTTTTGTAGTAATTTGTTTCAACAAAACCACAAATTTAAACTACATCTGCTCAGGTAGCAAGTTGAAAACACAAACACACAAAGCTAATTCTATCACTTTTAACTTTCTGACAGTGTGAAATTCTCTAATCTTTCTTCAAACTTGAACATTGTCTCTTTAAATAACAATCACTGTTTACAAGATCCCTTATTAAGTGAAAATTATTACACCAAATATTACAACATAATCAAATAACATCTACATTCCAAAATAATAATATTACTCAAATATCAATGAATGTAACTCCAGTGAATACCAAAGTAAGAAGTTTAATAACTTTGACTTGTTTAGAATTCCACTCAAAACTAGACCTTGGCTAGCTTCACTAGCCATCTCTAATTTTGAACTGATAAACTAGAGGAAAGGTACCTGATGATGACAAAACCTTGTCAAAATGTTGTACATTTGCTGCTATGTTAAACTTGTATTAACGTTTTTCTTCATTACCCATTCAAGCCATCTCCAAGCATTATTAGTCTAAGAGTGGGTTTCTCGTCATCGAAAATGTGGAGGATGGTAAGAAATGGAAAAGTTGAAAGAAATATATCACATGAGCCACGAAAATGTCAGTTAATAAAACGATCCAGAAAAAAGAACACAATCGAGTCGAAACAGCAAAGAAACCCAGAATTGTGCCAGCTGGATTAATCAGAAAGACCTGAACCAGAGTGACATGCATAAACATTTTCAGAGAGAAACTGATGGAAGGAGAAAAAACTAATGTTATAAACTGGATGTAATCCTTTCTTATCTTTCCAAAATCGGCAGACTGTATGGCAAAATGTGTGGGCCCCCAAACTCGAGGTGAGGCCCAACGAATGTCAGTTCATTGGATGACCAATCTCCCGACAAAGTAAACCCAAAAAGCTTCCAACAGAGTACCATGACCCGAAGCCTGGGTAAATGTGCTAATAGAACATATAATCTCCGAAGTGATAATGAAGAATTCATAATTCAAAATTAATAACCAAACACAACTGTGTTGGCAGAAACAAATAAAAAGTTTTTGTAATGAAGTAATAAGTTCCGTAACCAGGTACAAATATAAAATAATTCCACTTTGGAATAACTTGGAGTAAACTTAAGAGAAATTAATACAAAGATAGGGAAAAAAATTAAAATAAAACACTTCAAGAGAGTGCAAACTAAATGTTAAAACATGAGTGCTGCCAAACAAGAAGTGATAATTCAAGTAGAATTGAATAGAGGGAGTTAAATGAATCAAGAGAGTATGTTACACTCTTATTGGTGGAGGCTTGTTGCATGATGATTTTCATGTGAGATGCATTGGAATCAGTCAATTCCAGATTGGTGGGAGCATGAAGGTTTGTGGCATGCACAAAAACTTTTTTGCATACAGAAGGCAGTACTGAACGAGAATAGCCATTTATGTGAGAAGAGATAAAGTACTGTATCGGAATTACGGTAGGGGAGTACAAAGTTCGAAGGTAGAAAAGATTATTTTCTACACTTCTTTCTTTACTGTTTTATGTTTAAAAAAACAACAACTGAAATTGAAGAACTTATTTGTAAATAGTAATAATACATATGTAATGTATTATAACCGAAATGTGACTGTATTGTACAAAATACTTGTCCAGGAGAACCAAACCAAGACAGGTCACATTGTACAAGCCAGTTTTATATTATCGGATATAGTAACATGAGTGAATGTGCATCATGTTATTGCAACTTCTGTAATGTTAGTCAGAAGACATGGCTGAAAGGTCAATAAAATAAAAATAATATATATAGATATTGAATGTTATGAGTTTTGAGCTACTTAGACTGAACAATTGTGGTTTCATGTTACAATTTGCAGTCATTCCAGAAAGAAAAAAAAGAAAGAGAGTAATTTATATCTATTTCCTAACTTTCTTATAGTGGTTACCAAGTCAGTCAAATCAACCAAAACAGTTATATTTTCTAAAAAAAAAAAAGTTTGACAATTATCTGGCGGTTGTTAGGAGGTTATAGAGATTTCACATTTGAAATTTCATAATTTTCTGATGCATAAAAGTATTTTTAATCTAAAAATTGAAATTAGTTTGATTGGAACATTAGAAAAGAAAAAATACACAAGTAAATCATTAATTAAAAAAAATCTGATATTTTGTGCAGATATGTTAACATTTTTTAAAAGTTACGATATTACTGCTTTATGGTTACTTTGGGAGATAGAGGCTGGGTGGAATTAACCCATCCATAGTAAATGGGTTAAAGTGTCCCTACACCAATGGGCAAAAAAAAACTATTTGTTCTCTCATGGAGGTATACCCACTTAGCTCATTACACTCTTGAGTCGTGTGGTGTTGGGAGAGAGAGAGAGAGAGAAGAAAAAAATATTTTAAGTAAAAAAACAAACAAAGGCACGTAAAGAGAAACTTACTGCATTATCTGGATGGAAAATGTATGAAGCTGGAGAGTTGTCAAGAATAACAACTCGGTGCAGTTCTCTTCCTAATCTTGCCAAGTCCTGAAATAAAAAATTACATTGTACATCACAGAATCAGCCACAAAAAAAAAAAATAATAATAATAATAATAAAAAATGCTAAATTATATATCACATCATAATATTAATTTTTTTTAGTCATAATTTTTATTTTCCTGAATGGCACATACAGCAAACAGAAATATTTATTTTAAGTTTTCCAACATAAGCAAGGCTACCAGTAAATGTTGTTCAAATTTGAAATTTTATAAACAATTTTTACATTTTATTCATTTAAAGTTTAGCTCCTGGAAGAAAAATAAATTCTAAATTGTCGAAAACGCACAACTTTTCATCTATAATTATATGATTAAAAATCTAAGTTAAACTTTTATGCGCACATATAACATGTACATGTAAATGAGAAGAAACAGCTCACATTTAACTAATAAAAAACATATATATATATATCTGCTTCAGTGTTATAAGCCCTTAAAGTTAAAGATATAAAACCTAAATTACACAAGTTTTAGTTAGTTTATAAACCTTACTAAAATTTGTTTTTACTTAGTTTATACAGTACACGTACACTAAAACAATTTTTGTATTACAAATTATATTTTAGTAACACAGTAGTTGACCTTCAAGCTAATGTAACATAGTAGTTAAGCATCAAGCTAATGTTTCATTTCAATTCTGACATGAAACATTCGAGAAAAAAATATTTTCTCTGAACTGATAATCATCATGTAGATGCTCATAGTTAAAATAATTTCATTAGTGTGCATAATAATGATCAAAAAATTGTTATTTTTTATCTAAATAATTATGGAAGATAAAACTTTAAAGCATTACAACACAGTTTAACAGTTTAAGTAGCAAGAATTAGATAAAACTTGAGTGAAACAGTGATTTAAATACAAAAAAGAAGACAAACAGAATCCTAAACATAAAGATATTTTTTTTGTAGAAAATGAAGATAAAAAAAATGAACAATGAAGAAACCTAGACTCAATGATGCCTTGTCCATGAAAAAAAAAAGTTAGTGTATCTTAATCACTTCTCTCCCTCACTCTCTCAGTCTTAAATGTCAAAGTACCGCCCTGGAGGATGCTAAAAACAGACCAGACTAGAGTGGTGATATGGCAAGATCACCTACATCAGCTAAAACTTGACTATACAACTGCAGTTGTAAAAACTCTACTGAAATGTCATTGTCAATCTTCAGTAAATGTAAATTTGCTGTCACACACACACACACTCAAAATATCAAGACCAAGGCAATTCTTGAGATTTCTGATTTGTGTTGAGCTAACAATTCCAAGACACACAGTAGTATGTCTCATGGCCAAAAAAAACAACCTACAGAACACACACTATGTTATTAACAAGAGTGATAGTTTAGCAATTTTCCACCTTCTGTAGCTTGGACTGTGGTAATCCATACTGTCACATATTTTTAGTGGATGTGCTCTACTAGACTCTTACTTCACATACCAAATTTCAAGGGAATCCATTAAGAAACACCTGAGATATAACATCTCCAATTTTGATTGAATTTCTTCTTCTTTTTTTTTTTTGCACCAAAAGTACAGAAACTTTATTTGATAGAAAAACATACTTAACTTTTATGGATGTTTTTCAAATTTGGTACACTGATAGAACTTTTCAACATACAATAAGAAGTCTCATTTGGTGTAAACATGTGCAAAGTTATTCAACAAAAACCACTTACATATAATGAAAATGTTTGCACATGTCTATGCAAAAAGTCACGTGAGCTATCAGTCCAATATTTTTACTGCAGCTTCACCTAAGAGCAAAAGTGGACCATTTTCAGTTTTTTTGTCATTTGGATTAAAGATGGCTGATTTGGAGCAGCAAAATTTAAGGTGAAAGGATGTGCAGATACATAAGTACTGGTTAGGCCTAGTAAATTATATTAGCAGTTTCTATCTCAAGTTTTCAAAAGAACCATAGAGATGGTTATTATTCATTGTCAACTTCTCAGCACAAATTTACTAAATTTTGTGAAATGACCCTAATTAAAGAACATTTAGTATCAAATGATATTAGCTAAAGCAATTAGCATAAATAATGATACTTGATAGAGCTGTACCAATTGCAGGGGTTGATGACAAGAAACTGTTAATCTAAAGTCCATGGTGTTAGTATGAGGGAGGCTATTAACATTGTTCTAGTGAGGAAAAACTACCACTATATATTTCAAAGAATCTGGTTGGTTCTGTAAAGTAAAGGTCTGTTCCAACTAATAGGGTTGCAATCCTAAAACTAATGTTGGTTATTATCAAGTGATACTTTCTTATTTGGTGTGTACTAACAAAAAGTCATGATACCTAATCTAAAACACCTCAGGTGTGAAGAAAGGTGTGGCCAAAAAGGATTCAGTGTGCAACTTAAAGAAATGAAATCAAAATTGGCAGCCAAACTGATAGCTATACTTACACCATTGATAAGAATTTTACAGCAAATATTCATTCATTAGTTAGATAGGCTGCATATTTTATTTTACCCACCATCATGTCCAAAGTTGACCAGTTTGACCACCAATTTTGATTTCATTTTCATGCTGAATCCTTTTTTGGCCATAACCTTTTTTTTTTTCACACCTTAGGTGTTTTTGATTAGATGGAGACTAACAGTAACCATGCTTTTGTTTACATTCTTGAAAAATTTTTTAACATAAAACTTTATGATTTATCACTATTTTCCTGCTATCCTGTATAAAGAAAAACACTTGGTTTTAAAGAACAGAAAAAAGGGAAAGTAATAAACAAGTTTTCAAGCTATAGAGAGATTAAACACAAGTTGAATATAAATCTCTCTCTCT